GTCTTTAAAAGGGGTGGGAAGGCAAAGGGAAAAGCAGAAGGGAAATCTGATGCGTTTCACAGCCTCTTTTGCCATAGGCACCAGACAAAATGAAGTGTCCACAGCGAAGCTGAGGAGTGGGATCTCCCAGTCCTTCCTTCCTCCCTCCCTTCCTTCCTTCCTTCTTTCCTTCCTTCCTTTCTTCCCTCCCTCCCTCCCTCCTTTCTTGCTTCCTTCCAGTGTCCTGGCAGAGAGCAGTGGGTTGCCACAAACAAGCATTCTGTAAATGCTGCTCTATGCTACTTTAAGGCCTGGACTTTAAACAGATTTAGAGTCTTGAGACTGTATTTTTTCCAAAGTAATCAGAGGCCCAATGACTTGGTATTTTGCAAGAATTAGGGGTGGTGAAGACCAGTGGTATGGTTCTGTGGTTGAACATTTGATTAGAATGTGTGAAGGCCCTAGGTTTGAGCTCCCATGCCACCCAAGTCTGAAAAAAAAATCAAGAACTGGGAGTAAGATCATAAACAGTTTAGTTTTCCTAGCTTATTGTCTATAGCCACCTACTAGTTTTTTTGTTTGTTTGTTGGTTGGTTGTTTTTTTTTTTTTTTTTTTTTTTTTTTGAGACAGGGTTTCTCTGTATTGTTTTGGAGCCTGTTCTGGAACTCGTTCGGTAGACCAGGCTTGGTCTCGAATTCACAGAGATCCACCTGCCTCTGCCTCCCGAGTGCTGGGATTAAAAGCATGCACTGCCACCTTTAATTTCAGCACTTGGCAGACAAAGGCAAGCAGATCTCTCTGCGTTCAAGGCCAGCCTGGTGTATATAGTGAGTTCTAGAATAGCCAGAGCTACATAGTAAGACCCAACAACAAAAAGGAGTTAGTATTGAATACACACTTTAAAAAACAAATGTCAAGTTTTGGCATAAGCCAAATGTTCTACTTATCTCTGGCCTGGGATTAGCCCAAATATAGTCAGTGTTTAAGTGAAGGACTGTCCAATATAAGGCACAAGCTATCTTTTCAATATAGGGTTGGTATTTAATGAAGTTGAGGCAAAACAAACATGGGACTTAGCCTTGTACCCTGCACAGCAGAAGAGACAGAGCTTAGATATAAGAGTGGCTACACCACACTTCAATTAGCATGGTAGAAATGAGACTATGGAATTCTACTTGCAAAATGGAAAGGTGCAGAAAATAAAGGAATCTGAAAACACTTACAAATCATTGACCCAACTCCTTTCCTATCTCAAACATCCAAATTACCTCTGGGTCTTTGGAACATGACAGTAACCCACAAAACAGAAGGGATCTACTTACTCATAAAAGAACTTACGACACTGAATATTCAGATGAAGACTATAGCATATATCATTGAGTATGTACGTTTTGTCTGTTGTAAGACAAACAGTATTTATGGACATCTCAAAACTGAGGAAGAAGAGAAGAACTCAATCTTGTGCCACTACAGTTACTAATACAAAGAAATGGTATGGGTTGGCAGAGATTTTGTTAAAATTACATACCCATTTTAGACTGCAGAAGTTCAAAATTACATTCTCTCTAAGATTTTAAATACTTTGATAGTAAATTCTCTTCCCAGGGAATAAAAACTTCATAGCAGGTTGCTCCCAGAAAAATAAAGGGGGGCTATTAAACAAAAATCTCAGTGCCTGACATGGATATCTCATTTCAGGTTATTAACCAAAAGTCCCAGATACCTCCAAGACAACATAGGCTACAGCCAATGCCCTTGGTTGCTCACTATAATTAACTAGATGGTAAGATCCTATAGCTAAAGATACCATGTACTTTGGTTGCTAGACATAGAAAAATCAACCTGGAGCAGACTAGGAAATTCCTTCCTTCTGGCTAGCTTTCACAGTGTCGCAATGTACTATGCGGACTACAGGGGGAGGGGAGGGGGCGCTGGGGAATATCATGGTCTTACCGGTGCTGGATGCTGCAGGCGACAATACTGACCTGGAAGGCAAGATACACACACTGGTGCCATAGTGGCTATTATGACAATGGCAACTACTACTTTCTGATTGGATTTCAGACTCAGACCACAGGAGGGAATTCATGCTGGCACCAAATACCTGTCCCAAAAAATCTATGGTTAGGGAGGCCATAGACCTTACTGGGAAACTTACTATTTTTGTTTTTGCTAATAGCTCATGTTGTCAATCTGCCTTCTAAAGTTTTGTGTTTCTACCCACAAACTAGTGTTGCTGTCAACCTTGGTCAGGGAAACTTCTTTTTGCAATGGACAACAGTTAGTGCAAAGACTCATAAACTGGTCAAAAAGCTAATGATAAGTGCTACTGAGTGTTCAGCCCTAAATGGGACATCTATATCAAACTCCTCACCCCCAAGGTACAGGAAACGTTATGGAAAATGGGATGGAAAGCACACAAAGCCAGAGGCTAGGGAGGAGTGCTGTGAACGCTGTCTTCTGGACATGATATGGCCATCGCACTCAAACAGCTGGCTTTACATAAATAAGACCTGCACAGCATCAAGTCAGTCAATGCTCCAGTATGGGTTGGGGGGAACTCACAAAGCCCTAACCATTACTGACACATGTTTCGGCAGCTGATGGTTGCTTGGGGAAAAGGGGGTCAATTTTCTTCATGGGTCTGGCTCTAGTACGTGACCCTGTACCCATGCACAGGCAGCATTAATGAACCAGACTCGGAGAGGTACAAAAGTGAGGGAGGGGAGAAGAGAGGGAGGGAGGGGGGAAGAGAGAATATAAAGGGAGGAGGGGGCTATGTTGGGACAGAGCCCAGGGAGGAAGGAAAAGGAGAGTGTGGGTGGCTATAATCAAGATACCTTGTATGTACATATGAAATTGTCAATAATAATTGAAAAAACATTTTAAAAAGAAAAAAATGACCTTTAAACCTGGAAGGGGCTCTACATGCTTAACTATAATCCTGAATTATACTAGTTGTTTCCAAACCTATCCTGAAGTCACCTGTTTATTACAAAATCATTTTCTCCTGGTGAGTTTCATTTTATGTACATCTACAAATTTTACAGTGCTGAGAGATTACTCATGTGAAAACGTCACTACCTGTTGGCCAGAACTTGGCTCATAAAGTTCTGCTATGCAGCCTGAGTGCTGACACATGTTGAGAATCATAAATTAGGCTAGAAGGAAACTGCCCCTACCACAGTTGAAACACTTAGGTTAACCTGAGTTGGCACTTGCAGAGTTGACTGCAGCTGCTGCTAGCACGGCTATGTCCTTAAAAATATAACAGAAGTGAGTAACTCTCCTGGGGAAAAATGAGTGTACTGAACCAAGGTCCTTTCAATACAGCAATGTGGCCAATGTGCCTCTGAAGGACTAGCACTGTGCCTTAATGCAGTGAGAGTTTGGTGCCCGTTGTATCCAGAGACAGAACAATGACAGATGAGAGGACTGGAACCAGCAGATAGCAATGTCAAGACAGAGGCTACCTACCAATCATCATTGAGTATTACTTGATTCTACTTGCAGAATTCAAGGCAACCAAAGAAAGGCAATCCTTTCTAACCTGAATAGGATTAAAAATTTCAAATGTACTGTAAACTGTCGGTGAGGCTTTTGTTTGGTTTGGGCTTTCTAGTTGTGTGTGGGAGTTATTTATACTGAATATTTTAAAATCTAAGACAGCATTATGCTGGTTGCATTAATAGTACTAAAGGTACTGTATTTAACTAGGAAATGAATGGAGCATCTGCTGACTGAAATATAAGCTCATTAAATGCTACAGTATTTCACCAGTCTTGTGGAATGTTGTTATTAAGGCTACAAATCATGGGCTGAAAAGATAGCTCAGTAGTTAAGAGCACTTGTTGCTCTTGCAGGGAGGGGGCTTGGGTTTGATTCTAGCACCCATGATGATGATTCACAACCATTCATAACTCCAGTTATAGGGCGCTGATGCCTCTTCTAACCACAAAAGACACCAGGAACACATGTGCTGCACAAACATACATGCAATAACACTAACATATAAAAATTTTAATCTAATTAAAATTGAATTATATGAAATAAATTAATACATACTAGGTCGATTCTGACTCATGAGAAGTGTCAAGATTTATTGGTCTTTCAGGTAAATAATGATTGAGAACCTAAAGTCAATATTTAGTCAAAATTTATCTTGAAAGGCAATAAATCTTGATTTTTGCTAAAGCGAATAAGCAAATAATGTGTACCATTCTAGAGATACTGACTGCTTTTCATCTACTAAATATCCACCTTGAGTTGCAAATAGAATGATCTACAGGAGATTTTCACTTCTAAAAGACATGATTTGAGTTGTAAAGTTACTTTTAATTTTTCTTCCAAGACACTTCAATAGCAGTGTTTATATTAGTGTAAGATAAAAAGTTTCATAATGAAATGTTATAATCTCAGCTTCTTGTATATTTAAATCAGTGCAAATTAGTAATTTTTCCATTCTTGTTTTCCTTTGAATGCCAATGACTTGACCTTCTCATTTACTTGTTAGTTGGATTTTTGAGGAGAAAAAAAGACTTTAGAAAAAGTCATGTCAGTAAAGATTTAAGTCAGAAAAACCAGAGCATGTTTGGAAATCCCTGTATTCCAGTTATCTGAGGGACACAGTAAGGTGTAAAAGTGGCTTGGACAAGAGCTTGGAGCAAAAGGATGTGCTCGAGACTCGGCAATCTAATAGGGCAGAGGAACTAGAGTTGTCTCAAGCAGGGTGGCAGTCTGAGCTTTGAGAGGATTCGCTGCTAAGAGGAAAGCGGAAGGGGAGAGAATGACTGGATTCTGACTTGACTGGGTCTTGGCTTGGGAACAGAAATAGGAGGGATTACAGCCTGATGTGAAAGTACGGCCAAGGGTCTGTCAAAATGCCCACAACCGCTGTAGAAGCCCCTAGAGTCAGAACAACAGGCAGTTTAGGGAGCAAAGGATGCTGCTCAGGATAGGCCTCCACAACAAAGCATTCCTGGACCCAAATGACAGACACATCACGGTTAAAACCTACACTGAGCACTGTTCGCAACCTGTCAGCCTTGTTGTACTTGGTGGGTTCCATTTTAGTACAACAGGATTTCCAGTGACATATGACTGATTGACTGGCTGGCTGGTGGCTTTCAGTTTCAGGTCTTGGAGACAACACATGCAACAAACAAACAAAAGAAAACCTGTGCCAGTGCAAAGACAGGAGAGTAATAACATCAGAGATTTCTATACTGACCCAACTTAATCACTGTCCGTGCCAGCAACAGCTGTAAATTATTCAAGCTGCTTGGTAAAAGAAGTGCCATGGAAAGGAGGTCTTGTCCATGCTGCACTGTCTTCTACAGAGCCCGCTTGTAACTTCAGGTTTTTTTTTTCCCCTCCATAAAGGAATTCTTTTGATGACTCAGTCACCCACTAAGAACTCTTACTTGAAGGCTACTGGCCACAGGGACTAACCCTCTTTCAGCTCACCTCCTTCCATCGATTGGTTGTGTCTGAACACTGTGCCTGAAGTCCTGCGATCAGAATAGGTCAGCCTCCTCATATAAAAAGGCAAAAATGCTAGGATGGGCTATTTAGAGCTGGGGAAAGGTGTGTATTAGATACACTATCTTACCGGAATGTTACTCTGAAATAGAGCTGAGTCTGAGGCAAGAATAACAGTAATGCTGACACTGTCTCTAAACTCAGATCATTTGGCATTATGTTTCATTTTGAGAATATTATTAAAGTATTTTCTATCTTACTCAGGTCTCCTAAAAGATCCTGTGCTAAAACAAGTGCCTGGCTCACCTTACCTCAGTCCCAGCCCTGCTCCAAGCACTTTGTCTTGCAAAGCATCCAATGTCCTATCTACAGCACCTTCGGCTGGCATTTAACATCCTGTGAAATCACCACTAGTTCTCTGTGTGACTCTCTAGTTCCATCTCTACTCTGATTGGTCTCAAAGGTCAACAACCTCTCAGTAGCTTAGAAGTTGATAGTATCTTTTTGGTCCATCTGAGAAACAAAGGGTCTCTCCTTACTCTGTTTCTGGGCCCTATCTTTTCTCCCAGATTGGATATATAAGTCTCTACTTGCATTAGCCTCAGCCTGTAGCTTAATCACACACAGCACTGCACCATGGTCGCCTCTGACTTCCCCTCACATCACTCCCTGTTCTTAACACATGCTTCTCTCTCCTTATGTTGCACGAGGTCTCGTCTCTTTGAACTTTACGGTATCTTTAAAACACAATCTTCCTTCTTCTTTCCTGACAGCATCTCTTAGAGTAATGCCTACTTGGGCTATTTCAGTAATGACAACAATTTGATAAAATTAAAGTCATGAGAGTGGACCCAAGGAGTAGTAGGGACAGTCTCAAAATGGAAAAAGATGACTTTCATCAGGTTCCTATAAATCCATGCTTGGATTTCATTTCCATCCCACACTAAATTCCATTTGCCCTATGAGAGTCAGACACTGCCCTGCCTTACTTCTTTCCTTTATTCCTTTGTTTTATGGCTTCTGTGTTTTTCTGATTATCTTAAAACATACCTGTGACCATGCCCAAAGCTAATCTTTTAACTAAATGTTTGGTATTTGAAGGCAGTCTGTTTGCATCCTTTTACTTAGACAAAGTAGGCCAAATTAAGAACTGCCTACCAGTAGAAATTCCTATTTTCTGATCCTCACCTTGCCATCTGAAAGGAATTTCTTAGCATAATAGTACCTGATTCTCTCTTATCAGACCGCTTCACAGATGGAGAAATGAGGTATCTAACTAGTGAGTTTAGTTTTAAAATTTTTATGTTATTGTGTGATGGAGGTGTACAAAAGACAACTTTGGGGAACTGGTTCTCTCCTTCCACCTTTAGATGGGTTCTGGGGATCAAACTGAGATCACCAGACTTGTGTGACAAATGCCATTCCCTCTGAGCCATCTTCCTAACAAGTGAGTTTTAAAGAAGGAAACTGGCATGCTCAGCCTGACCTCAGAGAACAGATTTTCTGCCTATTGCAGTAAGAGGGTATTGCCTCAGGGATTCCAGTTGTGGCCAGATGCATAAGTGGATCTAATTTAGGGGTCCTTTACAGAATAAGAAATGTGATCTCTGGACAATACAATAATTTGATCTCATCTTTATGGTATCTGAAAGGAAAAAGAAGAGATATTACTTATTAGCCTTGCAAAACTCCTTAAGAATGATAGCTCAGACAGCATCTACAGGTAGTGGACGAAAGGGCAGGGCAACTGGCACACGTATGTTGGTAAGATTACTGGTAGAGCCAGGCTTCAGGGGATGCCAAGAAACCTTTGGCATTATCAGGCACCTTTTATTCAAGCTAAAATCCCTCATCCTAACAATGGATGAGAAACATTACTTTCCCAAAGGTGGCCCATCCATTGTTAGGCCAATCTAAAACATCACTGGGGAACCTCCTCATATTTTCTGGGCAAAAATACAGTGATCTACAATATTGCTGAATTAATATATGTAACTCTGGCTGGGCTAGAATTCTTCAGTATATGAATTGTATACAGACAAAGCAATTAACCCTTCCCCCAGGACAGAGCATTGAAGGTGCTGACTCATAAGACTGGAAAGGCTGGCTTGAGGTTGTAAGTCAGTGGCAGGATTACCAGCAGGAGACCATGCCTTTGTGCTCCTAATTTATTACTTACCCACTGAGTCTGAATGCCCATCCCGCCAGCCACCATATCAGGTGTGCGTACTCCTCTGTGTGGTCTCTAAGAGTCTGGGGCTTGAGAAGAACCTCTTTATTGATGAAAATGAAGACCGAGATCAAGACTTTCAAGCTAAGTCTGTTCCTCTGAGTCAGAGGCACAGGCCTGGTGATTTGAAGGACAGTCATTTTAGTCAGAGGCACAGGCCTGGTGATTTGAAGGACAGTCATTTTAGTCAGAGGCACAGGCCTGGTGATTTGAAGGACAGTCATTTTCAGCAAGGCCTCTGATTCAGCCCCCATACAATTTCTAATGAGGGAGCCTCAATGAGCTTTGGTGTATGTGATTTCTAATCTTGGTGGGAATTGCTTCAAGCCCACATCTATGCCCTTGGAATCCTAGTTCCTATCTAGAAGTGATATATACACAGCAAACTAGATATTTTTCCTCAACTAAAAGTAATAGAGAACACTGAGCTTGTTATTTTGTTTTTTGTTTTTTTGTTTTGTTTTTGTTTTTTCAAGACAGGGTTTCTCTGTATTGTTTTGGAGGCTGTCCTCGAACTCACAGAGATCCACCTGCCTCTGCCTCCGGAGTGCTGGGATTAAAGGCATGCGCCACCATCGCCCAGCTGAGCTTGTTATTTTGTATATATTTAAAAAGTAAGCACTATATTCTAAGGTAAAACTTGAGAGTAGTGACTGCTTTAGAGTAGTTGGTGCTCTGGAGGGTTGCAGGAGGCCCATGGTCTAGAGCTGATAGGTTCTGGCCTGCCACTGAAGCCTTTTGGTCCCAGGAGCACCCAGGAAAATACCCCCCAAAATCTCTTTCCTTAGATAGAAATAGTTAGTGTAGCTCTTTTCTGAGTTTCATGAGTTGTTTTAGCAAATTATCCGACCTGAGTGGGCCATGGGAACCCCTGAGCATTTACAGTCAGTCAGAGTGAATGTGGCCTCGTAGCCCTGGAAAACTAGCTGGCATGTGACATGGAGTAGTCTTACAAAGAACCGAGTGTCATGCTTGAGCTGCAGTAAACAACTGGGTTGAAACAGAATATGTACAAATGTGTCAAATAAACTCTGATGATGCAGTTCCCAGAAATTCTCAAACGCAACCCAAGTCTAAGATTCCTAGTCCACTAAGACAGGCTAAGGACATGTGCAAATGTTGCATGCTTATCCCGTATATTAGTATAGCAAAAGGCTCTGAGATGTCATGTAGCAAAAACCCAGAAGTGTCTAGAAACTGCAAGATACGGCATCATCACCAGTTTGATATGAGTAAGCTTTACACTCAACATCTATTAATACTAATTTTAAACAACTTAAGACAGTTTAGTAGTGAATGAAGGTTTTCTGGACAGCTTGGTATGGCAAGGATGGGTCTGGCAGGCCTGGTCCTTCTCCCCCATATACCTTCTGTCTTGCTAAAAACCATTAGATTACATTCCAAAAGCTAGCCATCAAGGTCTATTCCCTTATTTAGCTACTTCCTCCTCCTGACAGTGGCTGCCAAGGTCCAGCAATCAAAGTACTGAAGTCCAGCAATCAAAAGTCCCCTTTGGCTCCCTAATTAACATGCCCAATTAAAATTAAACACCTCATCCTAGCACAGGGTTTGTCCTTGTATCTTTATAAACTGCCATTTTCCTCTGTGACATGTCTATTTCCTCTCTATCCAGAGGCAGACCATTGCCCTCCCCTCCAACAAATACCTCTGCCCCCTTTCCCTTGTTCCCTTCCCCTTCTCCCATCTTTGTTACTTTTTCCTGCCCTCTGCTCTTCTGGGGCAAATAAATCTCCTTTGTGCTGAGAGTTTGGTCTTGGGGGTCCTGAGCCCACACTTTTCCTCTCAGTGAGCATATCAATTTGCTATGCAGATGACTCCTACCTGAGATCCCTAGAAAAGATGTGAGAGCAGTAAAGCCAATGATGGGAGTGCAGAAGGATGGTCAGGACAGAGTCTCACAACTATTTGGTATGTAACTATGGGTACCAGATGCAGAGCTTGACAGATGGCAATGAACAGGATGAATACAGCAACCGCCAGAGCAGCATCTGCAGCCACACAGGGGAGACACACACTAAGCAAAAGAATACACACAAAAATCTTACGATCTCAACTGTGATAGCAGGAGAGCAAGAGGCACTAAGCTTCCATTACTGTGAGGGAATTTAATAAATCCTAAGCAGTCAGTTTGGGGGGTTGCCAAAAGTCTTGGAAGTGACATCTAAATACTGACGGGAAATATGAGTCAGGGTGGTGCTGGGGGTAGCAATCTTTCAGAGAGGAGCAACTGGACATTTGAAAATTTGAGAGAGAGTACAAATTCTGAGGAAGAGTAAATCCAGTGCTAGAACTGGGGCAACGCGCAAAAGGGCAAGGGTTGAAACCTAGGGAGTAGGCCAAGATCCTATAGGGATGCTGAAACTCAAGCCAAAATAGCTGGGAAGAAATTGCAAGTTGTAAATAAGACCACCAGTGCCAA